TTTTTGTTGTTGTTATGACGCACGTGTCTTTTAATCTTCAGATTTATTCAATATCACTTGCGCTAACGAGGTTATGGGAATTTATTTGGAAGAACAGTGGATTTTGACAGCCCTAAGTCTGCAAACAGCAAATGCGAACGATTTTCATTTGACGGACCCTACCTGCACCGGGACGACAAGTATCGCTATTTCCGGAGCTGTGAGCTATTATTTTGAGACAGCTATTGACGAATGTGACACCGAATCTACAGTAAGTCGTAGTTTATTCGAACATTAATTCGTTCATTTGTGTTAGTTTGCTCAATTTGTATTAATTAATTAAAAATTCTGAACCTGCACCACAATCTTAACAAAGGTTAAACGTATCTCGCTGTTGATGCGACAACAAATGATGAACGTGGGTGATAAATATTGCCCACTGTACACCATCGGGATTCAAGAAAATGCTTATTTCTGATCAAAATGTTTCTCTTTCCGACTGTCCTCGTAAAGAAGTTTATTAAATATGCGAAGTGTGATCTACAGCCAGATCTGAAGGCCTTTGCCGCATTCTGGCCATGCTGTGTGGCGCGTATCGCGTGGACGGGTTTCACGTTCTCTGCACGTAATAAGCTCGGTTATTAAGCATCCTTTTTTGGGGATGCCCGGTGGCCGAGGGGAAGACGTGTAGTGGCGTGTAGCTAGGCGATTAGGTGCCGTACGCGAGCGCCGGTTCGAGTCACGCACGCAGTACGTGTTTACTATAATTAGACATAGTCTTTACCTTGCCGTTTATTCGGTGTTATTTGCTTACTTTACTTCCTATGTCGACAGCAACTATGAGGTCAACTTCCAGAAAATCGTTTGTAATTCAACTTTTAGTACAAATTTCCTGCAATTTGCTCATGTTCAGACTATCAAATATGAAACATCATAGTCCCAAGACGTCAGTAAAATTTTAGGAATGATCACAGAATGCAACTTCAAAGGAAGGGTGAATGATGTTGATATCTATATGTCAGTACTCATGTACACTTATAAGACTGTTAATGTTAATAATAAAGTTAGTACAATACATAACAGAAACATGCCTGGGTGTTGTATTTTAGTTTGGTAATTGTGTGTGTACTGTGTACTTGTTGTTTATTATCTCCATGAATAATCACCATTTTATAATTATAGCTGTTTAAAATGATTTTTTTAAATCGTTTTGAAAAGACTTCAGAATTTGATTGAATTTTCTTGTTTTATTGAAAATAGCTAGACTGATTAATTTGATATTTCTTTCTCACTATGCATTTCACAACATTGAATCTATGTAGCCAACAGACTGCTAATTTAGCAAATTAGCAAATATCTCAATAACACTTTGTTTCACCTGTAAGACCATGTACAATATATGTCACAGATGTGCTTCGGAGATTGACAGTACATACAACATAGGAAAGGTACATTTTCCATTCTGAGCCTGCCTGTACATAAAATATGCCTTTCTTTTCTGATATATAATCACCTTTCCTGAATTATTCCATATATTGTAACTTTTTTCAACTATAAATTTAAATTGTCCAATCATATTTTTCAGTCAAAATGCCTACAGGACTTGGAAAGAAGGTGGTGAAGCGATCCACAGATTGTGGAGAGACACCATCCTATGACAGCAAAGTCATTGCTCCAAGAAATCCTAAGCTCATTAAAGAAATTGAAACCCCTGAAGTCAAGGTATGTTGAGTACTAGGTTTCACACTACAGTTGTACTGTCTGAGTTTTAAGCGGGTAACATTTTCTATAATTAGGAACACCTGTTAGATACATTATCAGAAGAATAATACATCAACCCTTCCGATTTATATCTTTAGCCATAGTTGAGTACTGTAAAATCTGTATTACAAGTCGCAGCTTTTTTTAAATATGGTACAATGCAATAGAGAGGATGTGGCTTCTATTAGAGGAGCAGCTAATATAGCTACATTTTTCATCAATTGCATATGTAATGGTTCTATATTTGTGAATAAATCACCAGAAAACTGCAATGTTTAGAAAATAACAAACTCATATGTAAACATTATATAAAAAATAAATTGTTGTTAAAATCTGTTCAAATTTTTTCTAAATTTGTTATATAATAAATTGCTTCTGTGACCCATGCACTGAAACTAAAAAGTTTATTTTAGTGTTTGGAATCTGCCATCATTCTGTTAACTAAGTAATATAACTAAGCAAAAACCAAACATCGTTAGTTGTTATGTACAATTACTCTTTGCTTTCAGTTTTCACCATCGATATTCATGAAGGAGATGGCACAGACAACAGAGGAAAAGTTGTCTAACACACATGAGATGAGATTGCCAAGGATTATTGAACTACTTGATATGGGTGATACAACACATCAGAAGGTAATACTAGTATAACCACCACTCATACTTTTTATCCTCCCTTCACAGCACATAGTCTGTGTCATACCATAACTCCGAAATGTATGATCTGATTTAAACAAAATTTTGTTGACAAATTGTTTAGTTTGCTGTGTCTTTTTTGGGTCAAAATATGTCATTTTAGGTCAAAAAATAGGGTGAAAATGATGTGTTTTCCTGTTATTGGCAATCTCATTCAAACAGCTTCAAGGGACATAGTTTAATGGTTCAAGCACTTTTTAGGAGTATTGTTCCAAGCCAAATTGGTAACTGATTTGTTCCAGTCTTGTGTCATATTCTCTTATGATTCATCTGATGAAATGGAACAATGGTGTTTTAATCAAATTAATTATTTGCTCATTTTCAGTTTACACAATTGGATGTTGATGAACCAATGTTTCAACCATTTCCATCTGATATTACTTTCCAACAATATGAACCCTGTGAAGTTTATGAAGTACCACTTTTACTAAGGAACAATGACAAGGTAAGTGTTTTGGCATACATGTACACAATGAAACAAGTCAATGCAATTTGATATTATTAATGAAACAATTTTGTGCCAATCTGAATTTTTTTTTTTTTAGGTTCCCAGACTGATCAAAGTATACCAGACTGATTCTCCCTATTTTAAGGTTATCAGCCCACCTAATGTTGGACATAAAGTAGCACCGGGTTGTGCTTCTATTTTCAAAATACAGTTTACTCCTGAAGAGAAAAAGGTAATGAACTAAGCTTTACTTAAGTTCATTGTTGGTTGCTAGATCACCCAAATCGCTAAGACATCTTTCACCTCAATTTTACTTAGTTCTGTTTAAACATATCAGCAGCATTCATCATTGTATTCAATAGTGTACATACCAACACAAGAACACACCTGCTAATGCTAGTACCGATATATTTATTGTCACTTCTAGGATTATACCCATGAACTCATTTGCATGACAGAGAAAGAAAAGTTTATCATTCCCGTCCGATGTATAGGTGCTCGTGCACTATTAGATTTTCCAGATGATGTTAATTTTGCTACTTGTCCCGTCAAATATCCGTCCAGTAGAACTTTACTTGTTAGAAATGTTGGCAACAAGGAGGCAAGGTTTGCCTTAAGCACTGAGAAGTAAGTCGCAATAAATTTCTATCTAAAGGACGTTATTTTACGGGTCTCAATTCCCAATCACAATTGTCTGGATGGACTGCTACATGCAATGTTTGATTGTGAAATCTATATCAACTCTTATTTTGTTACAGGCCATTTACTGTAAATCCACCCAATGGTATTTTAGCCAGCAATGAGAGTATGCAAATAGAGATTGTATTTCAACCAATGAAGATAGGAAGTCATTTTGGTGAATTAGTGCTGCACTATGATTCAGGTCAGTATCAAATTGTGCAGAGATTTCTTCACCATGTATTAGTACTTGAATTTAGGATTGTATTGATGCACTTCATTATGTTCCTTACAATTTCAAGCAGTCTAAGGCATTTTTGGTTTGTTTTTAGCCTTTGACATATAAAGTAGTACTAACTGGTATGTGCCATATACTAACTGCAACAATTATGGTATTTACTTCAGTAGCTGAACATTACAGATTATTGCCATAGTTTTGGGTGTGATTTAGTTTTCAGCAGCATAGGACATCATTAAGACCAGTCAAAATTTGACTTCAAGTTTAGCAGATAATACAATTTTAAGAACCCAAGTGACATGTTTACTGCTACAAAAAAATTGTGTTAATTTTCCCTTACACAATTTGTCTCCCATGAAATTAAAAAAGTTTACATCTACTCAAATTTCTGATATCTGTCAGAAAATGTTTTATTCATGTTGTAATTGAAACTCAAATTTTTGTTGTTATTTGTGTTCACAGGTGAAAATATATTCGTCAATCTTTATGGCGGTGCTATTGATTCCAATGTTAGGTTAGACAAAAATTCACTACGAATAGAAAACACATATATCTCCATGGCAAACCAAAGAACAGTCACAATCAGTAACAGGAGTGACGTTATTGTACACTATCAGTGGAAACCATTTGCAACTCAAGAAGAAGAGGACCAGCAAAAACAAAGGTTTGCCTTATTTCAAACTCACATTAAAGTCATTAAAGTTCTCCAGTTGGTACACTGTGGCATGTTCAATATGGGTCACAATGACATAGTGGTATATATAAATGTATGTAAACTATATTGTTTATATACACAAAATTTGAATGTGCGCTCTGTGACTGTATTATATAATTCCATGAGTAGACATTCAGAAAGATGTTTAGAATGCTTCTTTGGTTGCTAAATATATCTCTTCATCTTTTTAGATTTTGTCAAGACCTTGGTGCTGAAGAAGAGATGGAAAGAGACAGATTTCTGGAAGAGTGTATTACTGATCCAACACTCCGTGATAAAATGTCTTTGCTGACAAGAACATTCAAAAACAGAAGACGTGTGAGTTTGCATTCAAATACAGATACTTAACATTGTGACTATTAACTCAACTGTTTTCCTTCTTTTTTGCTATTTAAATACATGAATTGAAGTTTTAGATAATAACACCAAATATATTTGAAGGTAAATACTATGTTGAATGAAAGTACCCCGGGTAAACATGTATTGCGTGCACGACTCAAACTGGTATTTGTGTTTGGCACCAAATTTTCTAGCTTCACGTCAGGATCGTCTTCCCCTAAGCCACCGGACATCTCTAAAAAAGGATGCTTAATAACCAAGAGATGGTGAAATCTGTCCATGTCGAATCAACAGTGTTTATCTTGCCATGTATTCAGTGTTACTTGCTTTGTTTCTATGTTGGCAGCTACTTGATAGTAAGATTGATTGATTGTACATTCTTGACATTTTGTCATTCCAGCTTGTGGCCGGCGACAGTATGCTGTTTTCTGATGATGTATTTACAATTGAGCCGGTGGAAGGAGATATCTGGCCCAATACTTCAGCAGAAGTTGAAGTCATCTTTCAACCGCAGGAAGCTAGAGCCTACCAGTGTACAGCATTCTGTGATATCACTGGGAGGGAGTCACGCCTACCATTGCGTATCCGTGGTGACGGCATTGGTCCTAACATCCATTTAGCATTTGATGAATTAGATATGGGCAACATCTTTGTAGGATCAACACATAGCTATGAGGTAAGCAATCTTTAAGTTTCTTTTAGCACTAATAACAAAAAATAAATAAAAACAGCAAATTACACATGAAATTACACAGGTGTTAATTAAAGAAAAGAAAAGAACTTAATATTCAATGAACCACACTTCATTTACAGCTACAGTTAATCTAACACAGAATGTATTTTATTTTAGGTGGTAATGACAAACAGAGGTGACATTGATGCAATTTACAATTTGAATTCAACAGTCTCAACATTTGGACCAAAATTTAGTTTTAATCCAAGTGAAGGGATTGTGCTTCCTGGTGGTCATCAAGCCATACAGATTAACTTCTGTTCTCCACTGCTTGGGGACTTCAATGAAGATTTCTACTTTACTGTGGATGGGTCTCCTCATAGACTCAAACTGAACTTCAAAGGCTGTGTTATTGGACCAACTTTCCATTTTGATATTCCTAAACTTAAGTTTGGGTCTGTGTCATACGGTAAGTCAATCCATAGTGTAGTGGTTTTGGACCAGACCTCCAGACCCACGATTGGTAGGTCCTGGGTTCAAATCATACATAAGGTGTAAACACCAAAATGGGATTGACCATTTGGGGTGTGGTCAAAATATGTAATATTTTAGTGATTCAGTATACAACTGGGTTTGTATATGTTTCTATTTGAGATGCGCTTTTAATAGAGTGCTTATGGTAGCTACACAACCAAGTTATATAGAATTGTGCATTCAAATCATAGGTTCCTGTGACAAATATGCGTTTTTATGCATGGTTTATAGCACTCCAACCTTGGCACAATCAATCTTTAGACTGTCTGTCTGCTTGTCATTCTTATACGTGTTACATTTAAAACCTGTCTAAATCCAATCTTTTCTCTTATCCCCTTGTCATAAACTTGTATATTTACTTGAAAATTTTCCTTGTGCACTTTGGTGTTGCACAGGTTTGTTCTAGTTTTTATTTATAGTAACACTAAAAAGATTTCTGATGCATTGTGTTGTATCTTTTAACTGGAATATATCACAGCATGCTGACAGACAAATGTATATTAAGTTTAAATTTATATTTTTCATAGGTTTCAAGAGTACTCAATGTACTACACTTTTCAACACTTCACTGGTTCCAATGACATTTCATCTACGTGTACCAGGCGATGGCACAGGAGATGTAGTTAACGCTGCAATAGACGATACATTAAATAAGACACTTGGCATTGCACCAAGCAAGGAATTTACTCTTATACCAAGCACAGGCACAATAGATCCTCAGAGTCAAGTTGAAATTAAGGTCAGTCTCTTTTGTAGTTTGTTATACATGCATATGTTGCAAGATTTGTGTGTGTGGCTTGGATTGAATTATTTTTTCCTATTATTTCTGTAGGTTGAATTGATTTCAAACACCATTAAAAAGTATGACATGTCTGTGGTTGTTGATATTGATGGTGTTGGTGAAGAAATACTTTCTCTTCCGATATCTGCCAAGTAAGTATAAAAGTATAGATAGCATCAAATTTGTCTTTATCATTTTTCTGGATCAGTCAAGCTTGATTTAATAGACAAACTAGACATTGTAGTAACCTTCCTACTTGTCTTGACAGGTGTGTGGTGCCTGCCATTGCCGTGGTTACACCAATACTAGACTACAAGAGATGTTTCCTCAACCATCCATATGAACAGAATGTACAGTTATACAATGATTCAGATTTGCCAGCCAAGTATGACTTGTTACCACAGGAAGTTGATGATTTATCGCCGATACTTTACAATAGTCCAGTACCTAGTGGAATCATAGCTCCACACTCTGTGGTTGAAGTACCAGTTGTCATTACACCACAAGCACTTGAAGAGCTAGATATCAATTCATTCTTTAAGATCTTTGGTAGTATAGAGCCACCAATGGTGAGTTATATGTTATTTCATATCATAAAATTGATACTGCAGTACCCAATTTCAATTTGGTACCTTGAGTCGTCATTCGTAATCTAGTTATTTATGACACAATGTTTGTTCTGTCATAGCATGTCCAGTTGTCATGCGTTGGTGAAGGACCAGTGGTACATGTCTCACCAACAGATATTGATTATGGAAATACTCAAGTATTGACAGATATAAGTCGAACTGTGATTTTGTCTAATGAATCGCTCATACCCGCGCATTTCACATGCCAAATGGTGAGTATAAAAATGCTTTTCCTAGTACCAATGCTCACTCATTCTCTGTTTATTGCCTTTATAATGTTATTGGAGTCTTTGAAGAAGTTGGAAAGTCAGCTATACATACTGTGGGTATCTTATTTCCAATTTAATTTGATAATACATAAACTGAGATTTACACACATTTTCAAAAATCGTAGTCACTGCTATTAATATTTTTGTGCCTTCAGGTTCGATCTAATTCAGTGTGGAAAGTGGAACCAAAGGAAGGTATTATTCCACCTGAGGATTCTCTTGCCTTAACAGTTACATGTAATCTAGATGATTGCATTCGGTATGTATGCTACCACTGTAGTTCAGTTCAGTTTTAGCTACTTTAAAATGTATATATATGTGAGTGTTTGCTCTGTTAAAAGCATATCTCCAATTGAAACACTTGATATTCAAGTCTATTTAAAGATTACATATCATTTTCTCCATGTTTTCATTATTATGGGTTAATGTTATTAGGAGAAAAAAAATTGGGTCTCTGGAAATTTTGGACAAATTATAGCATGAATTATTATGGAATATGGTCAGAATTCACACTTTTGCACTGGTTTCCATGACAAAATTATTTTTTCATGTCTTGAAATTTTGCAAAGTGACAGGAGATGAAATATGTTATTAATGATATAAATCCTAATTTGATGAAATGCTTAAAAAAACTTAATTTAATGAGTTTCCAGTGTGATAATATTTTTCCAATACAAACAATGGGAAGTTCTCACCCATAATACATTGCATATATGCACAGTAACATGCTCAGTAGTACAAAATTTGAATTTGGTGTGAACTCCTTTAAGCCATAAAATGTTGGTAGAATTTTGAGTTTATGAGAGTCACACTTATCTACTTTTAACAAGACATTTACATAAATATATCAGTGTCAAATTGTCTGTGCATTTACTAGCAAAATGACATGCCTGAGATGACACAGACAATCCTCACTCAAACATTACATCACTGGAGTCCATTCCTAAACCCAACTCTAGCAATTGTATATAGTGGTTTATTATGATCTGGTTATGCCTAGCAATGAATATATATATATGTACTACTTATCAATATAAATACATGCTACATATTTTGGTCCTTTTTTCATGCAGTATGCTGATACCGGTACTAAGTAATATGTTGGTTTTACTTTGTTTAGATTCCAAGACAAGCTTGCCATCAACTTTATCAATAGCCAAGTACGTATGATATCCGTGATGGCACATGGTCAAGGTACTACCATAGTGTCAGAACCTCCCCTCACACCTGCTGTTGACTTGGGACCACATTTCAGCAACAAACCTTGCGTACGCATCTTTAAACTGACTAATAGTGGGCGTCGTCATCAGCAGATGTTTTGGAGTACTGAAGGGTTTCTGCCACAGAAGAACAGAAAACTGCCCAGTATCAATGCCAAAGACATCAAATATCAGGTAGATTTCAGATATCAGTTTCCATTTTTTTGCTGTCCACATGATTTCATAAGACAATAAAACAATGCATATAAAGTTGTGATATGCATTGTTTTATTGTCTGTGTTATAGAATATAAAGATGATCAACATGAATAACCACTTTTCACATAATATGCAATCTTTCTGTTATTTTCAGCGCCTACCAAAACCACCACAAACACCAAGACCAGTATTTTCTCTTACTCCGTCCAGATTTGAATTGGAACCTGGACAATCTATTGATGTTTTATTGGAAGGATTCTCAGATACGTAAGTTGAATGTCTTTGCTATTTATTCTTTACATAGTTACTATATATTTAATTTATAATTTATCTGTATCAGCTCAAATAAATGTGCAGTAAATTGTTATGTGCTTAATATCACTTATTGCCTTGCAGTCCAAAAGTGGTGAAAGAAAGAATGGTGTGTCATGCTATAATTGGGAGAGCTAGTGGGAAAGAAAGAATCATGAAAACAGACATTAATGTTGAATTCATTACACCATTATTAGAGTTCTCAACTAAACAGATTGCATTCAGAGTTGAAAAGGTTTGTGTTTCAATTATATTTATAGATCGTGTATTCCACTGTATTTGTTGTTTTGTATTCTTGTTTTTTAGCTCCTGTGTGTACAAAGCACACAAGGAAGATAATGAGTTTTGTGTGTGTGTCTATCTATCTCTCTGTCTGTGTAAGCAAAATCCCAACAATTAGCGATATATTGGTGCTGAACATCTGCTGGCTGATAATTCTAATCTCTAATGCCATTTCTCCCTTACTGACTGTTGGGAATTTTCATTTCCTAGCTTTTTTTAATAAAACAACAATGAGTGAATTTATTTTTCGCAGAGTTTATCTTTGATTAGTATTAATGATGATATTGATGATTTTATTACCTCTATATAATTAATGTTATAGGGGCCTGATGATGTCTTGGAAAAACAACAAGGTGAGCTTGAGTTGCATAATGTGTCGTCATTGCCTCTCTCTACTATGCTGGTGCTGGAATATCCTTTCCAGATTGTCACAGAAGACGGAACAGAAGTGTCTGAAATGGTGAGTTACCCGGTAGAGCGTATGATAAGTTACACTGTGATACAGTTTTAATACCATTTACATTTATTAAAATGATATTTCTCTGCTATGCCATGTGCTTAGTGAACAGAAGTTATCAGTAGTTCTTCTTTCCTATTGTAGGAGTTGAACATGGAGTTAGATCAGAAGACACTGATCAAGATTACTTTTGATCCAGATTATCAGGAAGATAACTATACCAGAACTGCTGATGTTTTACTAAAGGTGTCATATAAAGAACATCCACATGTGGTATGTGCTTTCTTTACTTTACAATCATAATGAGAATCCTGTGTACACTTTACATGTATTGCCAAACTATGCCCAGACCTTTTGAATTTTAGATTTTTTAGCTTTGTCTATAATCAGAATGTTTGTCATCGCTATCATTGTTAATTTTGCTTATCAAAATATTTAATATCTTATTTGTTTAGGATTATATAAACTTGATAGGAGAAGTGTTCTTTCCCAACCTCACTTTTGAGAAGATGGATGTAGATTTTGGTTGTATTCTGAATGATACTGAAGTGACTCGCTATGTGAATATCGCCAACAACAGTCCCATGCCAGTCAAGTACCAGTGGTCTTTCCTGGAACCCGAGGAAGAGATTGTGATTTACCCAAAAGGTGGTGGTGATGCAGATGTTGAGAGTGATCAAGAGTTGGCAGACAATGAGGAAGTAGATGTACAGATTGATGATGCTGATGAAGCAGATGAAGAAGAAGATGAACAGGAAGCTGAAAAAGATGAAGAAAAGCCAGAAGAAGAAACTACAGAAACCCACCCTGAGGAAAAAAAGGTCAGTAACCCTTACATTAAATTACATAGATTGACAAAATGAACATTTTATACCACTTAATATCATTTTTGTCAGTATTACTTTGATTCAGAAATATAGAAAACATAAAAAAAACTTGTTTGTAGAATCCACTTTGACTAATGGCAGCAATCTACTATGCACTTCATTGATTTGGTATTTACATATATACAGGCTCAACATTTAGTAAATTTGTATTACCACTCAAATTCAAAAGAAATATGTGATTCACACTATATAATCAATGGTTTGTTTCATGTTATATTTCTTACTGTATTGAATAAACACTTATTCCTTTAATTTATTTTCAGGTGAATGAAACTGAACAAAAACATGTTGTGATTGATTCAGATAAAAAAGATGATGATGAAGATGAGGATGATAACCAAGAAAAACAAGATGAAACGAAAGAAGAAATGCAAGATAGAGGGAAAAAGGTAAATGATTTAATATTTTGAAATTGCAATCGCAGTTGAACTTTGATAAACTGAACTAATCTTCTGTTGATATATATATCTGTGTAGTTCAGCTTTACTGCAATTCTTATAAATATAAAACTATTATTTCTAGGAGGCTGGGGCAGATGGAATTCTCAAAGGACGAAATGCATCCATGGTTGTAATAGATGAAACAACCTTACCTACTAGAGCTTCAGCAAGCAAAGAAGATAGTGATACAGTTGGGATATCTAAATTGCCATGGTTACAAGGTATCAATGAACCAACTACATGTGGTATTGAAGAGGTAAATAGAAAAGTTATCTGTAATACTGATCATAAGGTGGTTACGTTCATCTTGTTATCAATGAATGGTAACACGATTTGTCATTGATTACTTATCTTGCAGGTATTTGACATCCTGCCACTGTATGGTATGTTGTTACCGGGTGAGAATGAACGTATTACGTTTACCTTTTATGGGCATGCTGACATTGGCATTGGCGCCAAAGCTATTTGTGATGTGGAAGGTGGTCCTAGATATGAACTCTCATTGACTGGTGAAGCTTCCCTGGTTCAATACACATTTGATACTAATGACATTGACTATGGAAAACAGGTGAGTTTCCAGATATTGCCATGTCCTCCTCCTCTCACTAGAGTTAGTTGGTTATCAAATTTATTCCTGATATTTACCTGTATCACAAAATTTCTTAACATTATATTTAAAGATGTATGATGAAGTTGCTGAAGCGGAGATTATTCTTGAGAACACTGGCAAAGTAGGGTTTGATTTTGTCGCTCTCAATATGGACCCATCCACTCAGGATAAACCAATGCCAGGAATTCCAATAATGATTCCACATAGTGGTCATATTGAAGCTCATAGTGCTCAGAGACTTGTTATCAAGTTCCTACCAGGAGTACCTGAAAAGTTCCATAAGAGTTTTGAGGTGAGGTTTTTGCATACTTGGCCATATATGGTTTGGTTTTCAACTTCAAATTTATCTCATTTTCAAAATGATTATATGATATAACAAAATTGGGTTATTTGTTGATTTAAATTTCATAAATTGCGATAATTGAAAGATCCTATAGTGATTTTCTTGTCTCTTCTGTGCTTTAAAGATTCAAGTTGCTCATTTTGAGCCAGACATTATTAACATTCGAGGAGAAGGAGTTTTCCCAAGAGTGTCATTAGACTTACCTCGATATGCAGATGAAGAGGGACACTATACATCTTTGATGAAAGAAACCAAAGAAAGGCTAGGTACAGATACTCAAAAACCAGATAAGGAAGACAGATTGCCAAGCAGTGGTTCACCAACTCCCAGAGACGCAGTGGATGATACCAAGTCAATTGCATCAGTTCAGGTAAGACATGATTCGGTTGAGACAATTGTGTGATCAAGTTTTGGGCTTGTTTATGGAAATATGCTCACTAATGTGTATTTTACTAGTATTGTACTTGTATCATATCTCTAATTTGTATCTGACTTCAGAATGAATTCCCATCTGAGTTGGAAATGCAGATGGAAGTGGAACGAATGATTGTTAAAGAGTTTGCCTCAGAGCATCAAATAGATTTAATGATGAGTAGAGCTGACTCCATTGCTGCTAATACTGCTGCAGATGCACAGTTAAATGAACCATCTTCTCGTATTCCTACAAGTCACTCTTCAAAGACAAAGAAAATGAAGAAGCCAAAGTAAGTGTTTATTGTCTCTAATCTAATATTTGATTGTGATCATGTTATAATATGTTGGTAAAAAGTGGCATTCTGTTATATGGTAGTGTTGCCCCATACCAACTATTTGGAAAAACAAATTGAAATAAATCAAATAAATAGTTCACATCTGATGAAGTTATAGCATTTTGAAAAAAAAATTGAATAAGGGACAGCCTCAAATTGTTGCACAAAAAGCTTATGTCATCTCTGTACATTATAAGTGGAAAATTCTCCTAGTTACAATCTTGTTAAACTGTTTGCTACCCATGTACTTTCTTTCTATTGACCAAGTTTATATTGGTGTTAATTTTTTCTTTTTTTTTCTCATTCAGGTGCAGATTACCAGACTATTGCCTAGACTTTGGTTATGTTGTTTTGGGTACAGTTCGTACACACATAGTCCGTGCTACCAATACCGGTTACTTTCCAGTCTCATTTTCAGTTGACCGCCACAGCTTGCTTAGCACTGGATTCAATGTAGAGTTGGATCGTGTTCGTAATTTGCCTGGTTTTCCGGATCAGGAGACTGTAGACTTTGTTGTCAGCTTTGATCCACGGGGAGCCAATCTTGGTCTTGGTGACATTGAGACTTTGGTACCCATCAATGTAAGATAATATTGTCATTTATCAAGAACTTCTAGCACTTTGCTCAAGTTCATTGTCAACTAATTTTCAGTGCGATATCATCAGCAGATGGTCTGCATTATAAAACATTATATAAATTCTAAAGATAAAATATTGTAAATACTGTCTGTCATAATTGCAATGTCATTGCCATAATCAATGTTGAGAAACTGAATGTTGTGACTGTTTATTTTTGACAGATTGTGAATGGACCATGTGTGTTTATTAGATTGAAAGCTAATGTAACCATGCCTGATATGGAAATCTCAACCGATACTTTGGACTTCGCAACTGTGCTGTGTGGACAGTGTAAGGTGATTACTGTACAGTTACATAACCATAAACATGTACGCTGTGAGTGGTCCTCAAAACCAACGGATAAAGAGAAAAGAAAGGTAAGGCAATTTTACACATCACTGCTTCATTTTGAACACTGCGTGTAGTATACTAGTATATACACCCTGTAGTATATACCCCGTCTTCAGTCAGGTTCATTACTTACTAAAACCTTACAAACACATCACATTGCTTGGCATGGTATATATATGTACATGTATATTATTGTTTTTAATATAACTTGTGTTGTGTTTGTCTAATCACAACTTTTTTCTTTTAAATGCTAACAAAAGGCAGAGGTGGCTGCAAGGAAGGTACAATCACATGTAATTATATTTGATTTTTAAGCATGCAATGAACTCACCACTTGCCAGTAGTTACGCAATATGTAGCTTACGTCTCATCCGTGCTATATGTAAACTCTAATAATTAACCTCTCAGCATATATCTGCATGGCAGTCTAGTCTCAAAGAATGTGATGTTACAGAATTACTGTACTTCTCACCAATGCGTCTTTGTCTTAAAAGTAACATAAAAGCAGTACTGAAAAGCAAGAAATTTTTGAACTGAATGTTTTGCAAATACTATAACTATTGCAATAGGTATATGACACTTCATAGTATAGTATAGTATAGTATAGTTTATTTTATTTGACTCAAATTAATGAATTGGAAAAACATTAACTATGGTCAATAATCATACACAAAAAACACAATAATACGAAATACAGATGTAAAAAATAAAATGTAAAATTATGTTGATCTACTTTTCTAGACTGTTGGCAATGAAACTGTCTTTTATTTCCATAATATGCACAAACATGTCTTCTTTTGGTAATTTTAAAATATTATCATTGTATAATGATAAAGTATTCCAAAAGTAGCTGCATGCCTTTAAAATATAAACTAACATAGTAGATCTTCAATCTACATGTGCCCCTTGATGTAGATTTGGAAAGATAATGACTGGAGAAGCAAAGACACTGAAGAAAGATAGTCAGTTGCAACCCCACATACATGTGTGTGATCCAAATACATGAAACATTTTGCTTTATTTTGTTTCCCTATGTGCATCATAGTCAGCATGCCATCTGTGTGCAGTAAATATTGAATATCATTAATTACAGTGTTTGCACTAGGTGTTATCAACCAGAGAATTTTGAATCTTTCCATAATAAAAGAATAGTTAGATAATTTTGACAAGTGCAGCCTTATAACTGTCCATCAGTTGTGTATCTGTGATGCTTATAGTGATTTGAGATTAGGTACATCAATGACACCTGAACAATTATTGTAGAAAACCAGGTCTTGATTTCCGGTTGCATCTGGTGACAACACTGTAAATGATAGTTTGTACAGAAGAGTGTAATATTATCTACATTGTAGTTTATGCTTTATAGGATGATAATAATTGCTTCTTGATACAATTTCTTTTTAGTGCTTCTATACTGTAGTATTTTTCGCATATTTTCTGATAAATGTCTATAGAGATCTTTCATGTTAGTTATAAGGCCTCCAGCATGAGATGTTCCACACATAATACATATGAAGAATCTTGAGTGCGGCCTCCACAAGGCTGCTATATCTGAGCAACGATGTTTGAAATTATGTGGGTGAAAGACCTCTATAGGAATACTGCTAGTTTATTGTCTTCTGTCAGACCTAAATTTAAAAATCTGGAGGTCATATAATGGAAATATGCATATGAAACTTTTTTTAAAGAATATATGTTATAGCGCTGTCTTGAAGGCTTCTACAATTGTGACCTTATTTGTGAAAATTCATTCATTGATATTTCAATGCTCTTTTTTGTTGATTTCTAGATTGATAAGCATATACCTTTGCATGTGAGAAAAAAGATGAAACCTGAAAAACCTAAACCACGTAACTTTGAAATGATGCCTCCAGATGGTTTTCTTTTACCAGGACAGAGAGTAAATGTACAAGTCAAATTTATGCCAACTGAAGAGGTGAGTCACATGTTTACAAATCAGAATCTCCAAGTTCAGCATCTGAGTAATACTACCGGTAGTGCTTTGATCACTGTGCCAATTAATCTTGTCAATAGTGCATATTCAGCTACTTAAATATACATGTAACAGTTAATCCTAATTCTAATTGTTTAGTTAAAACCAGATGTTGCATTTCAATCATGAATAAGTTGAAAACTGGCTTGGCATGATGGCAACTTTTGCTTACATATGTCAGAAACCCCTTTTATGATTCACTGTAGCTTGTGCCATACATTGTTCTCAGAGACAACTCTACCTAATTAATATTAACCTTACCTTACAGAAACTGTATTGTGAGAGATTGGCCATCAGACTGGCTCAAAGCAGTCAGCGTATATTGTTGATGGTAAATGGTCAGGGTCAAGAACCCAAACTGGAGTTTTCCACTTCACTTCTAGAATTTGGTCCTATACTACCACACAGCCAGGGTGATGAAGTAGAAGTCACTGTTAAAAATCCCTCTGAACATCCTGTAGAATTCTACTCACTGGAATTTGATACACAATATTTGGAAGAAGAAAAGGTATTTTTGGTGTCACTTATGATGTTTTGTAAATTATTTTAATGATGATTTTGGAAAGTATTACATCGGTATGAAACTAAATAACCCTGTCCTTATGTCAGTGTGTGGTTTGGATATACCTGTGTTATTAACGTTTGAGGAAAGTGGATACAAAATTACTGTTATAACATAGTGTTTCAAAATGTGATACTGTAGTTTGCATTGTTCAGTTTTCAGTTTTAGTTTTCTGTTTGGCTACTTGTTCTCAGTAAACAATGGTCATAAACAGTTGTAAGACCAAAATTGAAACATGCTGTGGTTGAGTTTTTAATGTATGTAGTGATAACAAATAAATAGTCCAGGCTATACAGTAATAAACATTTTCCTTATTTTATGAGTTGACTCAAATATGGGAGAAGGGGGTGAAATGAACCACATGTTCAATTAAACTAGTATTCTGATAATGAGATAATAATTGATTTCAGATATTACGTATGATGAAAGGTTATGATGACAATAATACAATTCTTTTGCCACCACGGCCTGCTGGTCACAAGCTACCATCAGAACTCGTTGATTTTTATGCAGAGCAGCAAAAGAAACAGGAGGAAGAAGAAAAAGAAAGAAATGAAGCTGCAGCAGCAGCAATAGCTGCTCAACAGACTGCAGAGAGTATGTATCTAAACTACTCACACAAACACATCACCTTAACTTATTCTCCTAAATAACAAGTAGCATGATTAACCCTTTGAATGTTAAATTTGTTACCTTTCACTAAATATATCCATATAAATTCTAAATTATTTCAAAAATTTGAAAAAAACACTGTAGCTAATGGGAAATTATATCCATTTAGTTCAAAATTATCAAAACGTTCATTTGTTGCATGCAATTAGTAAAAATTTCAATACTCATAAACTGAATGCAAAATTAGTCACATACTGTAGAGTACTTTATTTTCGCTTGGAATTTATTTTCATTATTTTCGCTGAAGGAATGATTCTGTAAAAATAAAATCCAACGAATATACTTTTTTTCCTATATTTCACATTAAACTCATCAAAAATCAGTGAAAATAAATTCCATACAAAACGCCCAAAAAACCTTTTCAGCGAAAAATTAACTCCAGCGAAAATAAAGTATTTCACAGTATTGTTTTACCATTGATACTGCAGATAGAGCATATAGCTAATTATGAATTGGTATCTGTCTAATTACAATATCTTTGAATTGCATCTTCTTTTAGATGAAGAGGGTGCAGAAGATGGTGTGGCCCAGTCTGAAGATCAAGCTGCAGCCATTGTCACAACTGGACCATCTCCCCGTCCTCCTAGTAGTATTCATGATAGTGAGAAAGACAGGAGAAGTGAAAAGGCAAGTGCTGACAAATCAGAGCGAAGTCACAAAGATGTTGAAATGTCAGAAACTGAGAAACCAACGGAAACAAAGGATGATGAGGAAGATGGGAAAGGTAGGATGTTGAAAAATTTGTAAAATTTCAAAATTATAAATTATCATTATAGTATATAATTGTAGTCATTATTAACATTTGTTATATCTTTTGTTATAATAGACAAGAAAGATTCTGCAAGCAACGTAGGTGTTGGAGAATTAGAAATAACCCCTGTATCTGCTGCTATAGCCCGTCATCTTGGTATTGATTTGACACCAGAGGGTAGTGCTGCTCGCAATAGACGAGGCATAGCCATATGTGTGCAAGGTGCACCAATGTCTGGAAAAACCACAACTGCTATAGCTTTGGCTAAGTATTATAACACAGCTTTATTGACTGTCGATGGTGTCGTATTGGAAGCTATTTCAAACGGTGCATCATCCGCTGGTCTCCGTGCAAGAGAACTCTGCTCTCAGGCTGCCAAGGCACAGCTGTTAAAAGAAGGAGAAGGAAGTGATGCTGAAGCAAAAGCAGCTGGTGCCGGTGGTCTCAGTGTAGAAGCTGTTGCAGCTCATGCTGCTCAAGGAGGTGGTTCAGGTATGTGTAGTCATTTTATGGGATCTAGCTACATGTGTACATGTACATTGTAATAAAGGAAGGAAATACATACATGTATTCTTCAAGCATTTCAGCTATTTTTAATTTTTATGAGCTTTAACTATTAATGCAGATTATTGGCTTTCTTATTACGATTTCTTTGTTTTGTTCTACTTGATTGTATAACTTGTAATACTGTAGTACATGTTTGATTGGTGTGTACTTTGCACCAATGATGTCTTTCTTTTGTGTGCCTGTTAATAGTGAAATATAAAGATTGTTGTTATTGCATTCTGTTTCTTATTGGGACTACAAATACTTGATTATTTTTCTATGGCTATGTTTCATATTTAATGATGAATTTTAAATATGTTAATCACTGTCTATTTAAGTTGTGTCTTTCCGAGCGGAATCTCAGCTGGCTGTATCAAGGCACTCTCGCTTAGCGCAAGGTGGCTATATCTTTGATGCTTTGCTCTGTGCTTGTCTTGCTTGCGTTCTTGCTTGCATGTTTTTGTTGAGCTTGATTGCATCTTTTTGTACATTCACTGCATTTATGTCATTGAATAGCTGCTTGTCTATTGATCACTTGATGAGGTCATTAACATTCCTCTCACCATGTATCAGAGCGAATGCTCATGAAATCACTGTGATGTCATAGACCAGCAACTATTCGAACTACAACATACATTGGTGTTCCCAACTGTTTCCATGGGTAGCACATTAATATCTGGGCTGTTAAATGACATGGCTGGTGTGATTGCATGCATTCAGTTTAATCTCAAGGTGTGGAAGAGAAAGGGAAAGCTTTCTTAAATTGTAAGACGAGTAACAATTTGTGTGTATTAACTGAACTCCATTTAACCTATGTAAGATATCTAACAAGATTGGTATAACAGATGCAAATATTTGTGGCACTTGTTTTTCTAATAATTATTGCGTGATATTAACTTGAAACCATCTAATACTTAACATGACTGCATGGTAATGGTGTGGTGATCAGTGTGCCCTCTAACAGGACTGATTTTATAGGAATCCTAAGCCAAAATGGAAACCCCCAAAATTAAGTTTGTTGACTGCTGAGGAGGTCAGTCTTGACTGTATAATGGCCCCTGAATTTGTTTTTAAACTTGTTTTGTTTATAAAATGTGAATTTTATTTCATCAAATTACACGTTACATAACTATACATGTAGTATCTAAGATCACTATATCAATCATGTACAACTTTATGTTGCATCAATGATGTGCCAGTGAATTAGCACAACTAGTTGTGTGTCAGTGGCACGTCATATCATCTTAGAGGGCACACTGGTGGTGATTAATAACTAACAGTGCATGTTGAAATGCTTGAATAATAATAACCCATGCCTCACCAGAACTATTCCTCACAATGCTGCTTCTCACTCCGCGCTGCCCATCACACCACTGATTTGGCTTCTCTGCACCTGTTTGTTTTGCACCTTGCTCAGGCTCTATAAGTGTTGCTGGGGTGGGTGGACACTCTGGGGCACACTCTGTGATCAGCAACCGCAAAACGAGCACTATTTCAGGCCATAAACCAGCACACAGTACCATTGGAAGCAAAGCTGATGGAGAGGATAGTAAACCAGAGAAGAAGGATAAAAAAGAGAAGAAAGCGGACACAGACAATACTACACAGCTCAGTGGAAGCCCTCCTCCAGCTGCACCCATTGCTCGTAGACTGAGTGTAAGTGCTAGTGTAGCTGGTGAGGAGGGCCTCATGAGCTGTATATTGCCTGAAGATCTGCTTGTGGAAATTCTAGCCGAACGCCTCCAGGTAATTTTGCATATTTAACATACAGTGTATTTAAGATTTATTTTTAGCTCCGCTGTCGACTTCGTCGAGCGGAGCTTATCATATGAGTGATTGTCCGTCGTCGTCCGTGTCAATGTTTTACTTTTTCGACTTCTTCTTGAAAACTACAAGCTTGAATGCTTTGATACTTGGTGTATATGTACCTTGGGTAGACCTCTCTTAGGTTTGTTCATTTCGTGTTGATATCTTCAATTCTCTAATTTTGGTGAATATTTTTGTCATTTTTGGTAAAAAGTGATATTTTCGACTTCTTGTTAAAAACCGCAAGTTCGATTGCTTTGATATTACATATATAGGTACTACATGTGGACCTTTCTCAGATTTGTTCATTTTGTGATGATATTTTCAATTCTCTAATTTTGGTAAATATTTTTGTAATTTTTGGTAAAAAGTGATATTTTCGACTTCTTGTTAAAAACCAATAGTCCAATTGCTTTGATATTACATATATAGATACTACATGTAGACCTTTCTCAGATTTGTTCATTTTGTGATGATATCTTCAGTTCTCTAATTTTGGTGAATATTTTTGTCATTTTTGGTAAAAAGTGATATTTTCGACTTCCGATTGCTTTGATACTATGAAATGTGCATTGCTAACAGCGGAGCTATCTCAGCCGATAGGCTGCTTGTTTTACAATTGTATTGGTGACTCTTCTTTAGAAAAAAAAATGTGGAGTTAGACTGGAATGTTTCTATACTGAATAGAAAATATTATATTTTTGTCTCAAAATCTTTTTCAATAATAATAAATGGTAAACTTTTACACAACAGTGGTCAACACAATTCAATACGTAATAACAATAATATTAGTTGCCCATATTTTAGCATAGAAGCTGTGTAGAAAGCATGCAATGCTCAGTTTGACTTATTCTTGACGCCTCCTCTGGGAATGGTAACTTTGATGCAGTAGTTACACAATATAGTTAAAGCCAAAGATATGTGATAATGTTCTTAGTCTGTTGTGAATTATTCTTGGATAATACCGTAGCTTAGCCAATTGCCTGACAGACAAAAGTAGAATGGAATTTCTCTACCTTATTTGCTTGCGATATGCTTATTGAAGGCCGGCATTTAAAAACAAAGACATCAGAGAGAACACACATGTGCAATGACAAATAGCCTGGTAATAGTTGATCATGTGTAATAGACCAGATATTGAAATGCTCTAAATGAATATACTGATTTTGTTTGCAGCTCAATGATTGCCACCGTGGTGTTGTCTTTGATGGTTTGGAGACTATGTTTAGCCAGTCTTTATTAACTGCAACTCATGTCCTACTGAAAGCGTTCAACAACAGAAAACACCTGTTTTTTATCACTTTGAAACTGGAACAATCAGTCCTTCAAGCCAGAGAAAAGAAAGCTCGTGAAGAAAGAGGTGAGTTTTTCCAGGACATGTTGTTTACTTTGTTTTCCCAACTTTGTAAAATTCACATCACTGAGCAGCAGCTGTTACTGCACATATATGCAATGAATTCTGGGAGAGAACTTATGTCATTCTCAATATCTTGTTCCTATTAAGATATAATTACATGTATAAATGTTCACTTTCAGAGCGCCAAGCAAAGCTAGAAGAGGAAGAAGAAAAGAGAGCTTTAGAAGAGATGAGTGAAGATGAATATGATTCCCTAAGTGATGAGCAGAAAGCAGATGTGGACATGAAGAGATTGAAATCTAAGAAAGAACGATTAAAAAGGTAACCAGCAAATCATGTTAAATTGTGCTTTGCATGCATTTATAGATGATATCAATTTAATTAATACTATGTTGTTTTATTTTGCCTTTGACTACGTTCACTTTGTCTTGTTCTCCAGGGAACAAGAGGAACGTCTTGAAAGAGAAAGAAGAGAAAGAGAGTTAAGGCAGCTAGAAGAAGAAAGAAGACAGGAAGAAGAAAAGTAAGTTTTACACTGACAGTATTATATGTAGTTATCATATAGGTAAAATAATAGGCTGCCACTGAAGCCCTTGCAGGCAATATCTGTTGTTCGCTGTCATGTTAGCCTAATTGTACACTAAATAATGGACTGCATTTAATAACAAGTCATTTTGTTAATAACAGAGCAAAGCACAAGAAAGGTCATAAAGGCAGAGAGAAAGAAAAAGAGAAAGAAGGGAAGGGTGGACCTCCTGGGGCTAAAAGTAAAGACGCAAAAGTTGGCGGTACAGGAAGCAAAGATGTGGTGAAGCAAGGAGATAAGCATAAAGATAAAGAACGCGATAAGGATAAAGACAGAGACAGAGATAGGGAGGCTTCAGACCATGGTTTAAAAGCAGCCCAATCTGCTGTCACTGATAGACCTGAATCACATGGTACAGCTGGTAGTGAGTCATTTGTAGATGAATTAACAAAGTAAGTATTTTTTACTATCAATCAGTTGATATTTTATCTTCTTCCATGTTTCCCATATTTTGTCTCATAAGATTGAGGAATAAATGCTGAATAACTTGCCCTCATGACTAAAAACAATTACAAGTCGAAAATAACATCAAAAACGTACTGCTATGTATATTACCCAATGTTTATATTTATTGCCACAACTATTTTTTGTTCTGAATTTGTCATTATTCATATTTACTTTTATATAATTATCGAATATCTAGCCTATATTATTTAGTTTTTTGCAGTCTTTATTTGGCAGACCCGACTAGCTTTATTTTAGCTAATTCTGCTTCCCATAAATGACTTCTGTCATTTTTTTCCCTTTTCTCTTATCATTGTTTACTTGGAGCATCATTACTGGTGGCAATTACCGGTATTTGTTTTTAATAATCTGTCAATTATTTTGCCATTATTTGGATACTCATGGATTTGATTTTACAATTTGTAGGAGAAGAAAAAGTAAAAAAGATGAAAAAGGTCGTCCAATTTCAACGGAAGTTGCCTCAAAAGAAGCCATTGGGGATGGAGAACCTGAGAGAGATCCAGCCAAAGAGGCTGAAATCATGCTGACCAATAGATTCCGCGCCTTCGAGCATTGCTATAAAGACATTGAGAAATTACTAAACCGATGGGATAGAAATCAGGGAATCACTGTACCTGATCCTACCGCTGATGCATCAGACGTTGATGAGCAACAGATCCCAGTACATCCACCCTCTGGTAAGAAATTGAAAGGAAGGGATAAGGAGAAGGAACGTGAAAGACTGGAGCGAGAGAGAATGGAACGAGAAAGAATTGAAAAAGAAAGAGCTGAGAAGGAAAAGGTAAAAAGCACAGCTCTACTTAAATTACTTCATATCAGTTTTGTGTTGCCTGTTCAGCTAATGGAGCTCCATCTAAGAATGTAGAAGTTATTATTATAAATATTGTACTCATTTTATGGATAACATGCATTTGTTTTTTATATGAAATAATTAATATATTAATTTTGTAACCAATGTTGCATGTGAATAGCAGATCAATATTCAATATTTATCTTAGTGCAAAAGTAGAGTCAGTAAAATACTGGTTGCACATAAGGGAACTCTTATATAATCAAAATAAATAAACACAATAGGCTTAACTAGAACAAAAATTACCCAATAATATACAATAACACAAGATACCTCACTGATATATTTGAATGAATTAGATTATACAAAATTTAGAGTTGGCAACCATAATTTGGAATAGAAAAGGTTGACACTCAAAACCAACAATTCTAGTAAAAGACTGATTGCCAACAATTAGTTAAAAATTGAATTGAAGATGAGGAACACTTTATATTGGTTTGTAAGAGATGTTATAGAAAGAAATTCAACTGGAAAATAATATAGTTAACTACTCGCATATTTATTAGTAGCGAATCAGATTTTATTTCAGAGGCAATAAAGTTATTATTATTATTATGTACCTTATGGTAATTATTATATTGTAATAGCAGGCAGCAGCTGCAGCTGCTGCAGAAAGCCAGGATGGCACTGAGGCACCAGAAGGCACTGACAATGAAGAGAAGAAACAGGAAGAACCAAAGAATGAAGTTGGTATTGCAAATATTATCATGGATGTTGCAGAGCTGGAGATGACTTTAGGACAGCAAATATTAGATACTAACAGATTGCCTTCTGCAGTAGAGGTAGGTACAGCTAGAACTGTATAGTAGTTGCTAGTTTGACTTTAGATTATGTAGAATGCATTTCCAGCATTTAATATACCTAATATGCAGACTATGTAATCAGCTATTAAATTCATTCATACCTTGTTTTTTAGGTTTTGGATGGTTTAGGTCTTGGTCCAAGTGGTCCTCCTGTTCCACCACCTGCCAATTTCTCTGTTGTTCCATATCCGGTTAAACGTAAACCACCTCCTGGTGGAGAAGTTTCTGCCCATTATCTATTTGTTGCTTCATCTCCAGATGACCCGTAAGTAATGTTTTTCCTACAATGTATGCTGAACATTGAAACTATTCTCTTTTCACAAATTCAATCTCTTTAATAATTATATTGCTTTTCCAAAGATATTTTTATTTTTTCAAGTTAGTTATATAAATGCTGGAGAGCATTGTTATAATTGTCGTTTGTTCACTTTTTGCCTACTTCAAATCTATAATTAGGAATATTGGGCAGGAAGAAAAACCTAAAGAGGTGGAACCAGAACCAGAAGCAGCCACACCTGATAAAGGAAGAGATAAGGTGATCAAGTCATCCTTTAACATGTTATGTTTCACTGGCTGTTAATAACATTGGTATTACTACAAATGTTGGTGCAGTCATTCTGCAGTCAGTCATAATAATATTGATATTAAGATACATGGCCATCATGATAGTTGAATGAAGTCTTCTCTGAGAATGTATTATGTGTTCACTGCTTTTTGTCTATGTTAATATGTACACAGGATGATCATCCTACTCCTACTGGTAAAGGCAAAGGCAAGGACAAATTAAGAGCTGGTGCTGAAAGCCAATCAGGACGTCGTAAATCAGCTGGTAAAGGCAGAAGTCGTAAGGGATCTCTAACTGTTACCTCGCCACCACCAGGCACTACAACACCAATGTCAGATGCAGATGGACAAAGTAGTACTGCTGGTGAAACAGCAGCCTTACAGGAACCCAAGAATCCAAGGTGAATATAATGACAGTAATAACTATTATTACATAAATATACTGCACTCTGCTAAGCTTAATCTTTGTTTGAAATTGAGCAACAAATAAAAGTTTCTATGTAGACCAACGCATTAAAAACAATTAGCGATTGAAAAGTGATTGAAACAGACTCTACAAGTGTCAGGGTGAGGCTATGGCATTCTGTCATAATTTTTTCTTCAACTGAAACTTTATTGACTGATACTACTACTTACAGGTTGTCTATTTTCCGATGGATGTTGCAAGCCAATTCTGAAGTGATATTACGAATACGTTTCCAATCTGAGGAACTAGGTCAGTTTGACCAGACATTGAACTTTGAAATAGTTGGAACCCGGAGACGTTATCAGCTATATTGTCGTGGTATATGTGCATTTCCCAATATCAGTAGGGAACCAAGGTTTGTGAAATAGTGCTTACTATGCTATCTATTACTATGAAGTATATTTAATTAAGTGTTTGAGATTTGTACTTGAAAATGTTGAGGTACCATCTATTCATTAATTTCTTTTGTAGAATTGTATTCCCGCATCGGAAGAAAAGCAGAAAAACAGATGAGATTGTCCACAAGAAATTCATCCTGAACAATGAGACATTAGAGTTTGGGCCTCTCCTAAATGGCAAGTCTAGAGAACGATACAAGGAAGGGAAATACCCAGAAAACCTTGAGACCATGACTGTGTTGAATACATCTCCACTAGAAGCAGACATAAGTTTTTGTTTCCAGAATGATAGCCAAGCTGAAACATGGTTGTTAGATCCACCTAATATGTTACTGAAACCTGGTCAATCACAGGTTAGTTTATCACCATCCTTTTAATTTCAGTTGACACTATATACTGATCAATACTACTTATATACAAATTGTTTTGGTTTCACACAGACACAGAACACTAGATGCCAAATTTGGATTTTGTGAACACAAATTCATTTTTCATTCATTTTAATCATTATGTGAAATGTTTTAAAAATTCTACATGTTTGTGTTATTAGGAACTTACTGTATGGGCTTACCCTAAGAATAAAGGATTCTTTGAAGACCAGATAGTATGCTGTATTCGGGAGAATCCAGAGCCTGTCCTATTCAAAGTATCTTGCTATGGTGTCAGACCTGAACTAGAACTGGATAAAAAGACTCTACATTTTGAAAGAGTACTTTTGCATAGGTAACCTGATTTATGTGATTTCTCAAGCCTTCAATTTATACTGACAGAAGATATAAGTGTTTTAGCATTGTGTACCAATGTGTGTGTTTATTCAGAATGATTCAATATTGATATTGTTATATTCTCTGCTCATCATCAGGAAGGACACCAAAACTATCTATCTTCGCAATAGTACCTTGCTTCCCGTTGCCTGGAAGGTCAATGGTCTGGAAAATTTAGGTGATGACTTCTCCATGCCACAGGAGCAAGGAATCATTGAACCCAAATCAGAGTATCCCTTACAAGCTCATTTCAGGGCAATGAAGCCAATTAATCTCAAGAAGATTATTCGACTTGAGGTTAGTATCTCTCTATCTTGATAATGTAAATACATGTTTTTGCAACTTTGTTTGTGTATATATTATGGTATATACTATGGTGTGTGTCATGCACACATTACATGTTTACTTTCATTAATATAATTTGTTGTGCTTCAAATTTTGTACACTTAATTTACTGCTATTTCTTCAGGTATCTGATGTGGATAACATTGTGGGTCTACTCCATTCTGAGAATGTTCAAGTACAGGCTGAGGCATATGATGTTGCTTTAGACATGAGTTTCCCAAGAGGAGCCGATGGCGGGCTAGACTTTGGTATTATCCGTGTTATGGATGAAACCAAGCAAACATGTTCTATCAAGAACAAGGGCAAATATGAAATTCAGTATGCGTAAGTATCATGATATTAATTTGAATATTTCAGTGTGATGTTTTTACATCATCCTGTAAAGCTAGCCAGTAGTGCTGAACCTTGTATGCTAGGTGAATACTGGTTAAAAAATAATATTTTTGAATTCAATATTTTAATAGATGAGTGTCTGAATGAAATTTGTTGTTTTTATAAAACTGTGATTTATAAGATGGTTTCAGCTCATTCAGAAATCACTGTATGTCTTACCCTTTACAGCTAATATATAACAGTGTACACTTCTATGTGTTGTATTGTAGATTTCAATTTGATCAAACAGAGGACATGAAAGATGTGTCGCCACTCTTTTCAGTATTACCTCAAAAAGGTACACTGATAAACAGTGACAGACCAACTCAGGTACAAGTGATATTCCGATCTAGAGAAGAGATCACTATAAGGGATCAGCCAGTTCTCAAGTGTCAGGTATGTGTGTCATGCAACACATATTTTTCTTTTTCTTTGCACTGTGCTTTTCTATCAGTGAGAAGGACTTTGTTTCATGTTTGTAAACCATATATTGATTGATTGACAGGTAATAGAACCAAACATCACTGATGGTGGAGAGACTATTGCTAGCATTCCTGTCAAACTAAGTGTACGCGCAGTGTTTAGTAAATACACTATCTCACCAGTTAACGATATTAACTTTGGGTCTATGTTGCTGAATCAACGTAGAACTAGAACATTTACCATTGAAAACAAGGGAGAGTTTGACTTCAAGTACACCATTTCTAAGATGATCAAAGATGTACCAATACAGACTCAACAACAAAAGGGTAGAATGTAAGTATTCAACAAATTTGTCATTAGCTATATTGCTGTATACTTTACTCAGCTATGTTTGTTTGATTCATGGCTTCCTAAATTTGAGTGTATATCTTTACTACCTGCTGTGCTTCATGTTGGCTGAAATATAGAAATCTAGTTGTGGACCCCAATAACTTTATTTCTTGAAAATTTACTTTTAAAGACATGGTTATGAACATGTTTTCTTTACATTTAAATTTACAATCCAGGATAACATTTATAGATAACATTTTCTGAATCATTGCTTTGCATTCTAATTGTATTAAATGTTGCTGTAATGCATGTCATATATCTATGGCTTCTAACTTTGTTACAGGTATAGTGTTGCTTTCAACTTGCTTTACCTGCATAGTGTATAAACTGGATGCTATTACTAACCGTAACAATTACACCCATGTTGTCTGCATGTTAAATCTCAGGATTACATAGCACGTATGACCACCTGCCCCAATACTTAATATCATCATTAACTGGGGCTGGTATTGCTAAGTGTAATTGTGCTAAAAGTAACTTACTCATTTTTTGTAAAAATTGAGATAGTAAAGTGTTCGTTAAAGATAGTGTTATTTTGCATACTGTACAATACTTTATTTTCACTTGGAATAAATTTTCGCTATTTTCGCTGAAGGGTTGCTTCAGTGAAAATAAAATCAAGCGAATATACTTTTTTTCTTCTGTCTCACATTCAACTCGTCAGAAATTAGTAAAAATAAATTCCATACAAAACACCCAAAAAGCCTTTTCAGCGAAAATCAATTCCAGCTTAAATAAAGTATTTTACAGTACATGTATATGTTTAAATGTTGGCAAAGTTTTGTTGCAGGAATAATGCATGGCAGTATCATTATGGTCAAAGCTTTAAACTAATTTATCTTTTTGTTTGCTGTGTGTGTGGATTTTTTAACTTGATAAATGTGTAATTTCTATAGGCAAGTCCCTGGTAGGCGCAGTCGGTCAAGGGATGGGTCCAGCTCTGGACGCTCTATCGCCAGACCAAGGCGTGCAGAGTCAATAAGGTAGGGGTGCCACACTGTCAATCATGCCAACTCAATAATCAATTCATTAATTAAATATTGCTTTGATTTTCTCTCTAGAATCTCTCATCACACTAATATCTTTTCTATTGTATTCTGTTTCTCTCTCTTCTCTATACAGTCTACATATGTTCGACTCAGTAGCCATTCAGTGCCAATATATGCTATTCTACTCTGGACTAAAAAATATCTGCAAGTTTAAAAACATGCATATATTATAAGCCCTGAGTGTATAATGGAAAATTATTTATGAACAAAAAACGACATTCATATGATGCCTGGAGACCCCCTCCAAACAGTTGATATGTGAAATGGTTGCGATTCATCCAAATCATATTTTGTACATTTCTTTATTAGTCACTGTTAATATATTCTTCATTCTGTCTAGGTAATCGTTGTACTAACTAAAAGGTATACCTAGTTCTAGGTGTAAATGTTTCATCCATCATTTCATACTCTCAAAAAGCATTGAAAAATTGGGATGCATGCATTAATGTGTACAAACTTTAGTGTCATATTTTTTCTCAGTGTATATTATTCATCGTATATGTCTTCATTGATGTCATGTCTTCATTAATCATAACACACTATTTAAAAAGTAATTTCTTCTAGTATACATTTTTCTGTTGTAAATTGAATTTTAACTGAATTAAACCTTAATGTATTACACGATATTCTGAAATATAACAAATACTATGCTGCAGATGAGTTGGGATTTGGGTAACTGAATCAAGCACAATAAGTATAGACTTATAAATTTGTATATCTTTACATTGTTTGTGATTAAACCTTGGCATTGTCAGCTTTAATGTACTACAAGGTGTATGCCTTCGGATTGATAACTTATTTGTTTTGCATCAGGCAAGAAATGGGTGGCGGCGGTGGTGGTGCTAACCAGACACGTCTTATGCTGGGACCATTCACAGTATACCCTGCATTTGGATTGGTAATGCCAGGTGCACAGCAGATTATAACAGTGGACTGTGGTCCAGAGGCAGTTAACAAGTTTGAAGAGGTACCAGTTACTTCGTATTCTTAATAATATTGTTTTATGTTATCATATATCACATTCTATGCTCTACATAAAGTTACATTTGAGTTTTAAGTGTTTGTGAATTCAGAAGTGAAGCTCAAAATAAAATAATGCAAACCTATTACAAAACTTCATGTTAATAATGATGTTCTCTTCTTTATAGGATATCTGCATTGATATCAGTGACAGAGACCCTAAAGATCACCCACAAGGCATCCCCTACAAACTCATATCTGAGTCCTGTGTACCAGGCATTGATACCAATGATGTTGGTGCCATATTTGAAGAGCATCGTGTTTGTAAGAATCTTAGTGTGTTCCTCAACAACCACACCTTGGAGTTAGACAGTGGTGGTGTCTTTGGAGAAGATGAGAACAAATTTGTATTTGGTAATGTTATTGTGGGTAGGAAAGCAAAAGCCAGGTTCAAGATTATCAATAACAACAAGGTAAAAGTTGAAATCAATTCTATTTATAATAATATGGTAAATGATAAGAAATTATTAATAACACCAATGTTGAATATGTATCGTACTGGTATGTGTGTCTATATCAAACGGGTGTACTTAAATCTTATCCATATTATTACTTTCTATAAACTCTAAACAGGTCCCATGTGATGTGGTGTTTACTTGCAAGCCAGTCTCGTCAAAACCGTCTTCTAAGCTGCAAGATATTTTTGAAATTGAACCAAACCGTGTTTCGATACCAGCTCACAGTCATACTTATGCCACAGTGAAGTTTACACCACCCTCTATGCAGGTAAGAATATGAGTAAACAACTAAAGACAAGATGACTATTTGATCAGCAAGTTCAGGATTGCAGTCACTTATACTTTTATAACATTACTCTACTTATGATTTTTGTGAACAATACTTGATTTTATTTAAAATTAGTGAATGGTTTTGTCCATCATTGGTCCCTATAGTGGATATATTATGCCTTCAAATTGAAGGCTGGTTTTATAGGTATAAAATTATCCTGTGACTTCATGGAGCATTTTTAGTTATCCTGAATTATTTCTAACATCTGAGTCTTAAAAAGTTACAAAAATTGTATTTTTTTTTGTGTACCATAGAACTACTAGCTTCATGATTGTACCAATGAACATTTATGACCAATTTTCTTTACATACAGACATATACAGCTTATTTTGAGGCTGCAATAGATGGATTGTCCGGTGCATTAGCCAAACAAAGGAACCTAGCATTTGAAGTACAAGGTGAAGGCAATCTACCTAGAATCGTCATCAAGAAACCAACTATTCGGAATAAGAAAGGAAACAACTTGTTGCTCTTCCAGAGGATCTTGATTGGACGTAATCAGATTCTACCATTGATTCTGAAGAATGAAGGCACTCTGCCAAGTAAAGTAAGTGTTGCATTCCATTTATAATATAACACAGTGTTGGACATGTCATACTTTAGTTACTGTTTGTACGCCTGTAATAGAAACACATTCCTGAACAAGTTGTTTTTCATGCAGACAACCATCCTATCATTGTCACCTGAAAGTTGTCATCTAGTTGGTACTATAATAATGAGCAGGCACAATAAGTAAACATCTGTAAATAGTGTTTTTAATCTGTGTATGAATGAATGTAAAGCTATTTTGAATTATTACTGGTACATTTACCAATGAAACCAAGTATACAGTAACTACAGTATTGAATGTACTTGTTTTACACATCAGGTTGATATTGATTTGGAATCACTGGATGGGGCTTTCACTTTGAAGAACTGTAAAGATACACAGTTGATTTATCCCATAATAGATGAGGATGAGGATGATGGTAAGATCACACAATGTTATCTAATATCATGATGTTTTTGTGATTTGGCTGGTTGATTCTCACCCAACCATTTTTAAATCGTATAATATCAATGGAATACATATAAATCATGAATATGGCATTGAGTTATGTTAGGTACTGTATTTACAAGTAGAAATATAACTTATACACATTTTTACAAACAAATTAATTTGTCATGTATACTCAGGATAAATAAGATCTGCAATTCACGGCTGTGTGATTCGATACAGGTTGTAATTTTCCTAATCCCCTTTCTTTGATACATATTTATTGAATCTTGATTTAGGTTGGCAATTTTGACATGTAATTTTATTTTCCAGAAGATGACTATTTTTCAGAAAAGCGTCCACACACTGCTTCCTTGATTGTTGACGTTGGAGAAGAAGCTAAATTTGATGTGACCTTTGTTGCAAATGGTACTGAGCGAAGTGAAGGTACAATTAAGATATCAGTACAAGACAACCAGTATGAAGACACCATGATTCAGTTAGTTGGAGAAGGCTATGAAGATGATATTACTCTAGATAATATTCATGGATGTATTAATAATGAAAATATTGAAGCATTATTAAGTCAAGAAGAAGTATCAGGTAAAGAAGTTTATAATTTTATCTGTGTGACAATTTGTTAGCAATGTTTTACTAAGTTTGCATAAATTGACATTGCTTACAGGTCCTCCAGTTGTATTATTTATACAACTCTTGCTCTGTTACTTTCTAACATTTTCATATTACTATTTTCACCTTTCAGCTGCTCCTTCCAACTTAATCAACTTTGGTGACTGTCACATAGGAGAACCTAGAACTTTATCTTTCACTATGACCAACCACAGTAAAGCAGACATTGTGAGATTCCAGTGGCCTGAACACCCTGAGTGCAAATTCTCACCAATGATTGGACATCTTTATCCTGCTTCTGCTAAAGATATGACTATTACTTTTAAAACTGATGTACCCAAGACTATTGAGGAAGCCATTATATCTTGCAAAGTTACCAAGATCACTTTTGATTTACCACCAAACCAGGTAAGTTCCTCTCACCTTCCTGTAGCTTTGATAGAAGTAGTGTTTCAGGATCCATGTCATTATGTGGACTCTCAATCCATGCATGCATTCTACCTTTTAATATTTGGGACTAATGATTCCATCCTTTGGATTATAATAACAGTTAAATGATTGGGATGACCGTATGAGAGTTGTTAAATGGATAGACGTGCCCACCCAACCGGCTAGACAACAGGTATCAGCAGAAGCTGCAAGTAGACCAAAGTCAAACTCAGAACTCAAGAAGGAAGAACGCGAGAGCAAAAGAGATCACAAAAAACAAGCAGAGCTAGAAAAAGAGAGAGAAAGAGAAAGGGAAAGGGAGCGATTGGAAGAAGAAATGAGAAAGAAAGCTATGGAGCCTGTACAGACGCCTAGGCCTGCAAAGAGAAAGGTTGTGGAGACAGAACCAGAGCCAGAATTTACTGCTGTAGAGGATACTGCTAGAGATATTGATCTGATTGTCAGTGCCAATGCCGATTACTCAAAGTATAAATGCAAGACAGATTCTGTACACTTTAAAGACACACTTATGTTTCAGACAAGAGTTTACCAGTAAGTAGTTGTATTAACTATTGTCATGATATATGCTATTGTTGGCTTTTAGAGAGATTCATTCAAGGTTCAGTAAAATTAGTATGAAAGAGTACCTGAAAATATGGGAACCAACTACAGTCGCATGATGCTTTTGAACATTAATTACATAATTTTAAGAATAATGCAACCTGATACTTTGTAACAAATATTAATTATTTTTGACAGATTTCAGTTAAATAACAAGGGTAATGTGCAGCTGGACTACAACTGGCAAGTAATCCTGGAAGATAGCAGGAAATCAGTTAGCTTCGCTGATGAGGACAATCTACGTTTAACAACTCCGCGTAGTTTCAGTGCTGTCACTGACATACCTGAGATTATACCATTTAGCATTGAACCTGATGTTGGCACTGTCGCTGTTGGCAAGAAACAAAACTTTACTGTCAAGTTTTCACCCATTGATGTACATGAATTTGAAGGCAGGTTGATTTGCAGGTGAGTTACCTACCATATTTAACAGGTTGGTATGGAAAATGCATTGTGACATGCTGATTAGTATTGCTGGACACTAAGGCAAGAATGTAGTTGCGTGTGCCAATAGACTTTAGATGCAAACGGTAGCTGAAATCTTGAGAACCACAATATTTGTTTTTGCTGTTCAAATAGTATTCATGTCAACTGCATTAAAACACTATTAGATGCAGAAGTTTGTCCTGAACATAAGAATGCAAAAATAGCATGGCACTGAAATATTAGAATATTGTCAGCTTACAGAACTATCAGTGCCAGTATATTTTATTAGTCAAATTACTGCCATTAAGCCAGATCCTATCATTGTTACGAAATTAGTGACCAGTTAATGTCATAGCATCATATTATATTATTGTTAATGTTTTTTACACTAAGTCAGTTGCACATTATCAATGTACATTCTCATAATTATAGAATACACAACTTAGAGGAAGGGAAACAAGGTCCAGTCATCTTGGTACGTGGGCGTAGTTTAATGCCGTACTGTCACTTTGAACTTGAAGACTCTGACTACATAACTGGAGCACGTCGCAATCCTGCATTACCGGGACCCAAAGGTGCACCCCCTGGATCCACTTTAGATGCCAATACTAGAGTTATAGAGTTTAGTTCAGTTGGTATTAATGTCAAAAATTCAAGGTATGGATCAGTATATGTTGAATATCAGTCTGTGATGTATAATTATATGAGGCAGTCATCATGTTATTCACTACAACAAACATTTCTAAGTGTTTTATTATGATTATAATCATCAAGGGGGCTTGTCTTTCAGGCAATTTTTCATCGTGAATCCCACTCAGGCCAATTATTCATTTATCTGGTCATGTGACGATGAAGAGGATGCAAAAAATCCCACGGTATTCCACTGTGGTGCTCCAGGGGGACTTATCAACTCTGGAAAGAAACACCTAGTAAGTTTTCTATTACTCTAATCATTTAAAAATCTTCCACGACTGTTTTCTTGGTTAATGTGAGTTAATATTTGTTTTATATCTTTTTTTTTCTAAGGTCAGCTTCGCTTACATACCAAATCAGCTTGGTATTGTGGAATCATTCTGGCGGTTTAGCATACCCGAACAAAATATCTCTGTACCCTTCTTACTTGTTGGTAATACAAGAGAACCTGCCATTTCTACAGATAGATCACATATCAACTTTAAATCTCTTTTGCTAGGTAAGCATGTTATTCTTGGGTGTGGTTTCCTGTGTCTGGTAATTAATAGACCCACTTACCGGTACAGCTTTGCATTTGTACTTTATCTGTAGAATAGGCTCAGCTGTAGATGTTGTATTTTCTGTGAGTGCTGGCATCTAGTGCCTATACACCTAATATGAACATGCTATTATTACACATGGTAATTTAGCAAATTGATTTATATTTTCCTAAAAATCCTTCTGTAGTGATATGCAATCATACAAACCAACTTTCAACTTTTCTGCTACTTGTATTTGTTTGTACACAATTGTTTTGGTTATTAACATTCCAGAGATATTTCACTCAACTACTTTTTTTGCCTTGCAGGTCATCGGGCTAGAGAGACTGTATGTTTAATTAATAACGAGTCACTTGCCTTTGAATATGAAATTCTTGAATCATCGTGTCACTCTGAAGGCTTCGCATCGCACTTGGATGTAACTCCACTCAAAGCCATTGTACCACCCAATTCTAGGTAAGCAGTTTGATTGAATATTATGTTTATTTCAAGTCCACTTAAAATACATTCTCATTCTCTGATTAAGTGGGCATAGATCATAACACATGTTAATGGTGAATTCAAATTCAAACAAATACATACTTTATAAATCCCCATTCAAGACTGGCGGCCATTTTGTTTTGACAAGTGCAATTCTGAATCCATATCTTGTTTTGAATCCATATGTACAAACTGTATTATGATAAACAAAACTTAAACTTGATAACTAACAGGGACTATGTTATGCAATTACTTGTTTATTCAGGTTGCCTATTGACATCTATTTTGCACCAGTGGTGGAGAAGGAAGTTAACTTTAATCTTGAGATCAACATACAGAGAAAGACACTGCCGATTTATCTCAATGTTAAGGCAGAAGGTTACTCAATGAATGCAGCATTGCTCTGTGAAGACTCCTTTGGGAAAAAAGTGGAACTCACATCAAAGGGACTTAATGAAATAAACTTTGCTGAGGTATGTATTCTATGTGTGCAATAGTCATGATTGCTGTTACAGTCCGATTTACTCTAAACCGTCAGTCATGGTTGCTGTCACAGCCTGATTTACTCTAAGACTGTTTGAATTTTGTGAAATAAATTTTCAGGAGTTTCGTGAATCAGTAAAAATCAACTAATTTGTAGCGGTGGGTTCCTACGACAACGATTGACTTTTCTGAAATATTGTACTCCTGAATGTCATTGAATTGTCAAATCATGAACATTTCTAGCTGGAAAAATTAAATGGTTTACAGTACTTACTGCAATGTTTTCTGTAGCAATAGTAAATTACACAAGATACATTTGAAGCAACACTTTGGGTGGGAACTATAAATACTAAGAATATAAAACATTCAGCCATTTTGCTATTCTTTCTCTCCAGGTGGAAATGAATGAAAAGGCAGTTCGTCAACTTTGGATTGTTAATTCTGGACGGTTTAACTTTGATTTTGAATGGACACTAAATGAAAGATCTGGTAGAAGAGAAAAGATGATGAGTATTACACCAGGCTTGGGTGGTGTGTCTCATAATGATAGAAAGAAATGCACATTGTCATTTAAACCACCTGGTAAAGTTACACTCAGAGGATGTGAACTCTCCCTCAAGGTGTGTATACTTACTTATTTTTTTTATTTGGTAATTTACAATGTTTTCATATTATATTTAATCATTGTAAAAACAAACCTTTTTTTTATAATCATAATAATTTGACTGTAATTCTATTTTGTTCTTAGATTACCAACGGTCCAATATATAACATTAATGTGACTGGTTACGGTGTAGCCCCTGGGCTTCATTTCTCATTTACCAAGTATGACTTTGGCCCCTGTTTTATCTACCGAGCTGGTATGCCTGAACATAAAGCATTGCTGAAAGTCACAAACAGGGACAACAAAGATATCAGGTGAGGGTATCAATTTCTGCTAGAATAGTTTTGATTCACAATAACTTGAAAATGATCAAATTGGTAATGATTCTGATTTCTAATTGTAAATTATTTTTTTTGCACAGCTTGGATTGTCATTATACCAGTACAACTTACCTTGATGTCCAGTTTGAAGCCACCGTGCTAGAAGCCGATAAAAGTATTGATATCCCATTTACATTTTATCCTCGAGAGTCCATCAAATACCATGAAATCATTCCATTTGAGATTAATGGACTGTCCAGGACAAATATTGAAGTTTTCGGAGAAGGTACAGAGATGAGAGTGGAGGTGGTCAACCCACGGGATAAAACTGTTAACTTTGGTGCTTTGCGAGTTGGTCAGACAATGAAACGTGTTGTACCTCTTATTAACAACAGTCCATGTCCAATTACATTCAAAATTGTCATTACTCCAATGAGCTCATCTCTACAGCAACTACCAAGTGTACTGACCTTGTCTAATACTGATAAGATAACACTCAAACCAAGAGGAGGAACGCATAATCTAGAGGTCATATTTAGTCCAAAATGTCGTATACCTAAATTTACTGAAGAGGTTAGTAACACTTTTGCACGTCATTACTCTTGCATGACTGTCTGTGAATCGTTATGATCAAATAAGTTTTTTGTTCGAATTATGTGTCTATTAATACCTTTATTTGCATAATTGGTTCTTATACTATTTGTAACCACTATGTTAATTATTCATATATACTGGATTATTAATTATGGACACTGCCAGTAATCATTCTGGGTGTTCTACTGCAATATGTTCAGTCTTGCCTGATACCGGTATGTATTTTGTCTACTTTTCAGGTGATTTTGGAATGTGAGAGCCTCTCCCAACCAGTGTTTGTAGTGTCTGGGCTCTGTCAAGGAATTGATATCAATCTAGATCAAGACTCTATTCCATATGGTGCTGTAGTTCTCAAGAGTTCAAGTAGTAGACGTTTACTTATGCACAATACTGGTGACATTGGAGCTGGGTAAGTCACATGCTCTATGCTTCAAAATTCCATGGCATGTATAGGACAAACACATCTGTCTGTCAACATTTGGTTTTCATTGCAAAGGTTGGAGTAGTTATTCTATTACAATTTGTCAGTCTTTACCTGGAAGATTATGACAACTACAACCAATAATAAAGTAACAGTTGGGGAAAATGCTAAAAATGGAAAATAAAAAAAATGTGGTAAATAAATTGGAGATTCAATTCAGTTTTATGTATGACAAAAACATACTGAAGAAGCAATGACCATACATGCACTGTTCCAGTGTACCCATATATGTTGCCATATTTCTATAAAATGCTAAAAATAAATACAGTTAGCACTTTGTTGTTAATTCATGTTTGTAAAAAACTCGAATGCTGCTGCTCTACTGTCTTTCTGTGTCTCCCATACACTAGCTTCTTAATTTCATCTTTTATCATTGCTTGCAATAAAACTGTCATTGAATATCTGTTGTAGATTTAAATGGAATGCTCAGAAGTTTGGACCTGATTTCTCAATTACACCAACTAAAGGTTATATATCATCTGGTATGACAGTGTCATTTGAAGTATCATTCCATCCAACTGAAATTTGTCAAGATATCCGTTATGATGTAAGTACTAGTCTTTCTTTCTTTCATGTGAGCAAAGAAGACAGCCATCCATGCCTCTTAAAGGCTTGGTTATGATATAACCAGTTTTAAATTAGGGTTTGGCCTAATGCCTGCAGGTCATGGGTCACATGCAAATACGATATTGATCAACGAATCAGAGACCCACCTTGTGACCTTTAATCGAGGATTAACTTAAGTAAATAAACTAACTCACAAGTCGTGGCATTTTCAAACTAATATCATTGCGATCGCTGCAGCCGCCAAGTTTACAGTGCCT